AAAAAAATTGAGGTCATTTAAGCAAGATTTTAAAAAACAGCTGTCAGAGTGTTAAAATATAAGGGACAATAAGGTGGGAGTTGTGGCACAGTGAATTAAGCTGCTGCTTGGCTGTCTCTCCTACCCCACACTGGAGTGCTGATTCCAGTCCCTGGTACTTCAATTCCAATCCACTCCTGGCTAATGCCCTGAGATGCAGTGGGTGATAGCTCAGCCACTTGAGATTCTGCCACCCATGGAAGGCTCACATGGAATTCCTGCCCAGCTTCAGGTGTTGAGGCTATTTGGTGAGTCAATGGAAGATGTCTCTCTCTCTCTTTTTCAAAAAAAAAAAAAAAGACTCAGCCAAAAAGTTCAAAGATTTGAAAGGAATGACACTATCCAGGTCAGAGGTCACTCTACAGGGTATGAGTCTGTCTCAGTCCAATTAGATTATCCTGCACAGCGCCCCTTGAAATGTTGGAACTTCTCTACATTTTGCGGTTGGTGGAGAGCACCCATAGTTCAGGGGCTCTGACCTCCAACGCCACGGTGTTGGCTCTGTCTTTCAAAAGTCTCGTTCCAATTATTGCTGGCTCATTTCAGAAGTGTCTTCTCAACTGCATCTAGACATTTCATCTGTTGAGGCTCAGGAGGTGTAAAGTTCAGATACAGGTTTAACATCTGGTGGGAACAGTCATACTACAGGGGCCAGGCATCTGTGCCCCACAAGAGGCAAACCCTGGCACAACCCACTCTGAGGCCAGAGGCTGCTTCCCGAGCCTGGACACAGATAGGGGACCTGAGCTGCAGGAGGGGCCTGTCTGAATGAAGTGGGATGACCCATACCTGTCCTACCCATGCCCACACCACACCACACCCAGGTGAGCTGAAACCTCTCCTGGCACACTGGGCTGACACCCTGCAGGCCTTGTAAACTGTGGGCTAATTGCCCAGATGGATTTTCTGCAGCGCAATCCCCTTGCCCTTTAACTTTCAGCTGGTTGCCTTTTTAATGTTTCACCCATCACTTATCTTATACTCGTGGTCCCTTGTCTTATCGTTCAAACAGAGCACAGTGATGGGTCACAGGCTGTTAGCTTTCAAACAGATTTCTGCCAGCGAGAAGAAAGCAGGCAGGGAGGGCATCATCCTTGTGGAGGTGATAGTGCAGGTCACAGGGTCACTTTGCTGCCACTACCTTATGTACCCTTTGAACTCAGTGTTCAGGGCATGACGGCATGGCTTAAGCCCTAGATCTGCACAGCTGAGGTCAGAGCTGGCCATCCTGCCTGGGGTTCCTCTTGGGTTCCATCTTTTGCCCCAACAAAAGAACAGACATCTGGTGTCTTCTGAGACATGGTTCCCCCCTCACTGTCATTCCCTCTGTGACAGCCACACTCTGTCATCCAGCAGGCCACCTTAGTTCCTTGGTCTGTTTGTGCTGCTGTAACAGAATGGCTGAGATGGAGCAATTTGTGAAGACCAGAGACTTCCGTCTGGTGGCCTCTAGGCTGGGAGGGCCAAGTCCAAGGGGCCCACATGTATAAAGAGTCTTCTTGTGGCAAATGTTCCTAGCCAAGGGCAGACAGAAAGAGAGTGCCAGCAGAGACTGCTATCAAAGGCACTTCTCCATCATATAGCACTCCAACTATGATGGCAGTGACTGAAACAAGTTATTTACTTGAAAAAGTTGCAGAGACTGTGTGGTAGGTGTTGCGTCCTTGTGCCACATGGACAGGCATTCTGACAGGGCTCAGGTCATCTGGCCCAGGTCCATGGGGCCTGCCTTCACAATGGGTGCCAGGTCCTTGAGTCCCAGGAGTAGGGGGTCTGGTGGGGCCCTCCTATGCTGTAAGTGCTGGGTCCATCAGCCCCAAGGGTTTGTCTTCCAAGAAGTTCCACATCATCTGGCCCTGGTCCTTTAGGCTGCCTGTACAGTCGGTGCCACGTCTGTGAGCACCAGGGGGATTGGGGATCTGGCAGGGCCCAGTTCACCTGGCCCAAGTATTTGAGCCTGCCTTTGCAGTGTGGTTGCTGGGTTCAGGAGTTCCAGGTGCTGGTGGTCTAGCAGAGCCCAGGTGTCCTGGACGGAGTCTTGGGCCCACCAGCAAGGGCTTAATCTGTAGCATGGAGGACACGGCAGTCCATGGAGTCTGTAGAGGACATCTGGGGCCATGGCAGAAGAAGGAAAACAGAGCAAATTAGACATCTGCCACAGACAAACGATGACAACAAAAATCTGGGTGAATAGAGATCCTAAGGTCAACTGTGTCAGCCAATGGACATTGGAAGTGTTCCCTCATCCTTCGATCGGTGAGAGAGGCAGCATCTCAGAACTATTGAAACCATTTGGGCAGAACTCTTGGACCATGTACCACATCGGAACCCTGAGTTGATTCTGGGTGGCCAGTCCCCAACCTTAGGTATTGGGACAGATGGAAAGCTGGGTATGGCTTTTTTCACTCTCTCCCCACTTACCCCAGATAGAGGAACAAGAAATGGACAAAGTGGAAACAACGATGGCACCATTTTCCCCTAATTCTCAATCCCTCTCACCCTGATCAACAATGTTAACATCATTAAAAATACATATATTCTTTTTAATTTTAAAAAGGGGTGGCTAAGGTACCCGGAGCCTCTTTCCAGGTTTCCCACAAGCAGGTGTAGGGTCCCAAGGCTTTGGGCCATCCTTGACTGCTTTCCCAGACCACAAGGAGGGAGCTAGATGGGAAGTAGGCTGCCAGGATTTGAACTGGAGCCCATATAGGATCCCGGTATAAGCGAGGTGAGAACTTGAGCCACTGGGCTATCGTGCCAGGCCAATACCTGTTTCTTTATAGAAAAACAAAAGCAACTTGTCTCCAGAGACCTTTTTGATATTAAATATGATGATGTAAATAAAGCATTTACTATAGTGATAGTCCCAAAAAAGATTTTAATAGTACTAATAAATAACCTATTAAAACATATTTAAAATTTTAAAATAGCATTATAAAAGCCTGAATTCTCTGAGACAGTATATTAAGCATGTAATAGTATACGTATAATATACTTGTATATATTCTTTAAAAATGTATAACATTCAAGTTGTATGTGCACCTATTAAATAACTTTGAATTTACCAGTGAAAAAATAAATAAATAAATAAATAAAAAGGGGGGTGGCTAGACAGAACAGCACCCACCAGTATGTGTGTGGGCTGGATAGTGGGATTGGTTGGGTTGAACTGGGCTTCAATGCACATTGCAATGTATGAGAGCTAAATGGGATGTGGGACAGACTGAACAAGTCTGTGGTACATACTGAACTAGGGTGGGGGGCAGGCCTGGTGGGGGTTATGGGGAGTCGCTCCAACTAGACTGCAGCTCCCACTGGTTTGCATGAGGGCCAAATATGAAGTGGGTAGGATCAGGCTGGACTGCAACACCCATTGGTTCATGTGCAAGACAAGGCTGGAAACAGAAATGACCCAGCAATTGTAACTACCAGCATGTGCATAAGCTGATTGGGGCAACGGACTGTGCCAGATGCTGTACTGGCAAGCACACACAAGAATCAGGTCTGGGATCACCTCAGACGAAGTTTCTTTGGAGATCCCTCCAACTGAACTGCTGATGTCAGAACCCCAACCATGAAGAAACTATGTTAGCCAGTGGATTCTGAATAGGTTTCACTGTGCTTGGAACAGTGAGATTGGCAGCAATTCAGAACAGTTGAACTATCACAACTGCTGGAGTAGGACCCTCAGAGCATGCCCCATATCAAGGACCTGGGATGAGGGGGAGGCTGGGTGGAGCTTCTCCCTTTGTTTCTCCCCTGACCCCAGATATAGGGAAAAAACAAAACAATGATGCTAGTGTGGAAACAATGGTCTTACCCACTTTCCTGTAGCTCTTGACACTTTGTACCTTAATCAACTATGCAAGATTATAAAAAAATAATAAATTAATTTTTAAAATAAGGTGATTTTTTAAAAAGGAGTTACAGAAAGAGAGAGAAAGAGAATCTTTGAACTGCTGCTTCACTCCCCAGATGGCAAAGATAGCCAAAACTGAGAAGGTCAAGGCCAGGCAGGAGCTTCATCCTGGTGTCCCATTGGGAAGTCTGGACCCCATGCACTTGGGCCATCTTCTGCTGCTTTCCTAGGCCAGTAGCAGGGAGCTGGATGGGAAGAAGATCTGGCCCTTGGCTTTGAGCTTTGAAGGAGTGCAGAGCCCTAAGACTCCACAGCCCCTTAAAGACCCTGCTTCTGCCTTGGAGAGGAACTGGTCACTCCAACCAGATGCATCCAAAGCCAGCTGCCTGGCAGGGAGGCTCTTGTGTACCTGCCCCCTTGCTGGAGCAGAATAGGATTCAGCTACTTTACATAATCCTTAAACACCTCAGGGAACTCAGTTGCTCCAGTTCCTTATGGGAAGAGGGAGGTCACCCTTACTGTCCCTGCCCCTGGTCAAGGGGCACCCCATCCTGGTCTGGCCCAGCAGCCTGTCTTCCCAGAATCCAGAGTGGGATGGCATGCCACAGCTGCTCCTCCCTGGGATGAGGACTGAGCCGAGCACCCAGCACAGAGAGGCAGCAGAGGGAATTGTAGGCAATGAAAAGCCCCTCCCCATCCCACCTTCAACCCCCACCATGCTATCCCCCACCCTTCTTACCCTGCCAACCACTCTCCCTAGGTGCCTGCCAAGGAAACTGTCAACTCCTGGGGCCCAGCAGAGGGTAGCCCAGTGAAGAGGGCTTGCGGGCATTGCCAATGCTGGGCCAGCACTTGGCTTTGGTCTGCACACCTCCAACTGCCCAGCCAAACCTGAGCACTGCCTCAGATATGACTCAACCTGCAGCTGGGGTGGAATGGAGCTCTGAGCTCAGTGCCTCCACGGATTGCAGAGCTTGGGGACGGGGTGGAAATGGGCGGGTTTGCAGCCAGCCATGCCCCTGCCAGTCTGCACCCTGGACTTACAGGCCCTAGAAACTTTCCTATAAGCCCAGTCTCCCTGGACTGCAGCACTAGCAACACCATGCCTATGACACTGGGTTACTGGGACGTCCGCGGGGTGAGTGAGGGGTCAGCCTGACCAGTGGGATGTGAGTTTTTAACGCGGGGTGGGACAGAGGGCATTGAGCAGCTTGGGAGGTTTTAGGCCTTGTTTCCTGTACCAGTTTTGGCACTTCTCTGCCTAGGCTTTCGGGATCTCCCAGTGCAGGCATCCCAGAGATGGGTAGGGACAAAAGGCAAGGGCATACTGTTAGATGTAAATAGGGGCTCACCTGGAGGCGATAAGAGCACCAGTCGGAGTCCCTCCAGCTCTGACACCAGGCCCTGGCATCTTTCCCAGCTGGTTTTCCCTGTCCGTGCACTCCTGGAATACACTGGCACCAGCTATGAGGAAAAGCATTACACCATGGGGGACGGTAATGCACCTGCCTGCTCTGACCTCTGTCCACTGCATGCTGTAACCTAGCAACCCCTGCCTGGCCACCCGTGGTTCACCTGTGCAGACCTCAACCCCTGGAAGCAGAGCCTACCCTTCCTGGTCCCTGTGGGTGCAGTGTGGCCTCCCACGGCATGGCTCTGGGAAGGGGTGCTGAGAACCTGGTTTCAGCATTGGGTCCTTGCCCACACTTCCTAAAAGCTTTAGGGTCCAGAGCTCTTACAGTCAGTCTTTCCCCTTACTCCAGACCTTGAATGTGAGACTGAGGGGCACAGATCCCACATGCCCTACCTAGTGGTCTTACCCTGACTCCTTGGGAGGGTCCAGGAAAAGAGGCTGCACACTGGGGAGGTTTTGTTTCACTTGGTCTTCTCCACAGGTCCAGACTGTGACATAAGCCAGTGGCTGAGTGAAAAATTCAAGCTGGGCCTGGACTTCCCCAATGTACGTGCAGGAAATGGGTGGCTGGCTGTCGGGTGGAAAAAGTGCAAAGTGTCTCTCTGGCTCCACATCCTTCCTATGTTTAGAGGATTCAGGACCAGGACCTTGTGCTCAGCTATTGTCATTATCAGTTCACTGCAAAGTTTTCTTATGATGTCCCTCGTCAGAGCTCACCCAGGGTTTGTACAGAGTACATGTTGAGGGCCTGCTATGGGTGTCTTCCCTCCTCACTCCCCAGCTGCCCTACCTGATTGACGGCACTCACAAGCTCACCCAGAGCAATGCCATTGTGCGCTATCTCGGCCGCAAGCACAACCTGTGTGAGTGGGGCTGGCTGAGGGCGTGGGGCTGTGGCTGTGCCCTGGGCCTGGCTGTGTGGGATGCTGAGGGTGTCTGCTGTGTGTGCTGCAGGTGGGGAGACGGAAGAGGAGAAGATTCACGTGGACATTTTGGAGAACCAGGCTATGGACAACCGCATGCAATTCCTCAGGATCTGTTACAGCCCTGACTTTGTGAGTGCCCCACTGGACAGGACCTGGTGGGTTCAGTGAGGAATTAACCTCTTGTGTTCTCATCGGCACTGCTCCTGTTTGCTACTAAACTCCCTAGGGAGAATGATTCTCCAAGCAATTTCCTATCTGACCAACGCATTGATTCTGTAGTCTCTATGTCTTGAGAACTAAAATCTTTTACATCACTGCCATACTCCTAGACACAGTCCCAATGACCTTGGGTAAACAGTGATGTCTAAGAGAGGAAATTTGCTTCAGAATCCTTTTTGTTTCTGACCTTTGAATCAATCTTACCATAGCCAGCTTTCCCAGCTTTTTCCTCATCATCTTCCAGTACCTAGAAGCAAAGTCCATGGCATGAGTTATGTTAGTTCAAGATGGGAGCGTCTTAGAGCGTGTGCCATGTTTTCCCAGGACTGGTTCATGCCCCAAAAGGGATAAGCATATTTATGTAATGAGTAACCCAGGGTCACCCAGAGGTCCTGGGTTCCTTTCCCTTCAACCTTGCAGATCACATTCTCATCCTTTGTGAGCTGTACACATGCCTCTAGCATTCTCCTGCCAGCCCACCAGGTAGAGTTTCGTCTTCTTTGCCAAGGTCTTTTAGTTCTCTGCCTCTTTGCTTTCACCCCCAGCAGAGTCCCAGGGAACCTACACTCATGACACTCCTGGGAGTGACCCACAGCAGGATGCTTGGACATCAGAGATGACACACTAAGGGACAGAACTGCACTACTCTGTGACCTCCTGTGGTCTCCCACAAATGGGATAGGGGCCAGTGGGAGTCTCTCAGATGCTGATGAATGAAATCCGAGGAGGAACACGGACCCTGTGCCACGCTCAGTGAGGACGGCTGCTCCCCTGGCCAGCGGGGCCATGTGCAGCCCTGACAGGCAGCCCCTCTCCCCAAAGTTGTGCCTGCGGGTGCTGACAGCCTTTTGTTCTTTCAGGAGAAGCTGAAGCCTGACTACCTCAAGGGCCTCCCAGACAAGCTGACACTGTACTCCCAGCTCCTGGGGAAGCGGCCCTGGTTTGCAGGGGACAAGGTGAGACCGAGGGAGGGAGGGAGGCAGGAGCAGGGGGCATGGTCGGTCTCCTTTGTTCCTGAGCTCCGTCCTCCTGGCTTCTGCAGATCACCATTGCTGATTTCCACGTCTATGACATCCTGGACCAGAACCGTATATTTGTTCCTGGTTGCCTGGATGCATTCCCAAACCTGAAGGATTTCATGGCCAGATTTGAGGTGATTCCCTGATCCTTCTCTCCACTTTTCCAGTTACTTCATGCTAAGTCCTGGAGCTGAGTTGCAGACCAACCCCTGAGAGCAGGACCCAGGGTTAGCATCCTGCACCTGCTGTGTCCAGTGTATCTGCACAAGTTGTCTCTCCCAGTTCATTCAAAGGGAGACTGAGCCAGTAGGGGGAAAGCTACATGTCAGGCTCCCATAGCCCGTCACAGCTGTGCTGAACTTCCTAGGAGCCGCTAGTGTGTATGGGTGAGTAGCAATCGGGCTTCTCTGAATTTTGTTCTACAAGGAATAACCTAGGGCCTTGACCAATCTGGGTCTCCCATCCCTGGAGACCTTAGGAGAGGCCAGACAGTGAGCACATGTGCAATGCAGCGGACATCAGGAGGATGAGACATGTTAGAACTGAGGTTCAGTGTCAGAGACACAGACACTCCATGTGCTTGATCTCCAAAGCAGTTGAAGCAATGAGCTCCCCATGTGGAAGCAATGAGCTGTTCAAGGTGTGTTGTTGGTGCTGGATCTCAGTGGCCTTGAAATGCCCCTGGTGCAGGTTCTTGTCTTGAAGAGTTTGTGGTGAAAACTTTTTTTCTGTCTGCCTTTTTCTTCATTTAGTACTCAACATGTTCTCTCTGTGACATTTGGTCAGTCCTTGATGTTTATCTTTATGCACATGCAAAGTGACTCCATGCTGAGAACAGCAGACATAGTAGGAGGGAGGAAAAGGGTAACACAGCATGGGTCTTAGCAGCACAGCCTGACCCTCAGCTCTCAGGGTCCCATCAGACATCACCCAGAGGAACATAGCCAGGTACTCAACTCTCAGGATCCCATCAGTCACCCAGGCACATCTGACTTGCAACAAAAGCTTTTATCACAGATATGAGGGTTTGGGGCATTAGTCCAAGAGATTGTTCATTCTGCAATCTTTGTTCTGTTCTCATGGAGTGATGTGCCTGCTCATCTCCTTATCAGCTCTGGGTGAGGTCCAGGTCGTGGCCTTGGGGTATGAAAAAGTTGACTCAGCTCTTTGTGCTGTGAAGCAGAGACTAGGTGAGAGCTTTGTCCTGGACTGTGTGACAACCAGGCCAGGCCTGTTAGGCTCAGAACATTCTACATCCCGCTGAAAACTTGAGAAACTAGGTGGGCACTTTCAGCCCTGGTATCCAGGCACAAAGCCCAGGAGTGTGCTCGGTGCAGCTCACTGTATCCTCAGCACGGGAGGAATTGAGGAGCAGTGATGTTGCGCTCAGATACCCCGTAGAAGAGTTAGGACTCCCTGAGTCAGGGGAGGATTAGAGCCTGGCCTCAAATTCTTTGCTGCTTCAACTCCTCTTGTTCCCCACTGGAGGGGGCTCTGGGTTGTGACTTTACTGTGGTTTCTAGGACCCCAGTGTGGCCACAGACCCTGAGCTCTGCTCCTGTGTCTGCCCCTGCAGGCCCTGCCAAAGATCGCTGCCTATATGAAATCCAGCCGCTTCATCAGAGTACCTGTGTTTTCTAAGATTGCCAGGTGGACAGGAAAGTAGGACTCTAGTTTTAAGGGTAGGATCAGCTTTGGAGAGCTCAGGCCCCCAGCCCTGCCTCAGCATTCTCAGTCCTCTCCCTCCACTGTCTCCTCCTCTGCAGCCTACTGTCTCCTGTCCTCTAAGCCAACCCCCCCATACAGACCCTGGCCAACCTTCTTCCTCATCTATGGCCCTCTGGGCCGGACCTCCTATATTGACGCCAACCCCACAGTTAGTGTCTCTGCTGTGAGGGACCAGGGGCCCTGTACTCCTCAGATGCCAGAGAGGTAGCCGGGCCTGTGCTGGCCCTTCTCCAGAGCTAGGTTTCTATGGTGCTGGCTGTTTCCCAGGAAGCCTGAATCTCAGCCTGGGCCTGTCCTCTTCCATGGGAGCTCTGACTCAGCAATGACTTTGCTGATGTTTAAGGATTTTCTTTGTTCTGTTGCCATAGCAGGACCTGGGGAGCAGGATTCTGTGGGTGGTGTGGCTAATCAAGCAGGGTTTCATGGTGTGCTGGTCATATCTGTGCCCTGTGCATGTTGCTCTGTTCCTCTCCTTGGTTTCTTCCTGCTGCATGGCTCCTCATTCCTGGATCATGGTGTCACGGCTTGAAACCTGATGCAGCTGGGCTCTGGTTCTGAGAGCTGCAGGGTTGATAGGGAGGGGCTGGCAGTCGTCGGGCACACCCACTGGGAGCTGCTCCAGGATGCTTTCCCTGACATGGATATTCTGGTCTATATTTTCAGAATGTTTCTCAATAAACAGTGTCACATTATCTATAATTGTTGTACTTGTTGTTTTTTTTCCTACACCAACTTAATAAATTCACAGAGAATCCCTCCGTGTCTTCCCTGTGATATGTGTCATGGTGCCTGGCCTGCATCAGGTGTTCAGGAAGTTTGGAAATGTGGGATTTGGAAAAAGTTTGGAATTGCCTCCTGGGAATGCAAAGCCAGCCTGTTCTGCCATGAATGGGGCTTTGCACTGTGGAAATAACCATCTGGATCTGAGGAGGTACAGAGTCACATGCAGGAGATTGTAAGCATGCAGGGATCAGAGAAGGTACCTGCAGCTGTCTCTCACTTCACCATTAAAGGTGCTGCACCTGCCCTTGAGACAACCTTCCTGAGATGGGCTGGGCTGGGCTGGGCTGGTTTGCTGCCCCATGATGTGGCACTACATCAGAACCTGGAATTCCATCAGAGGTCACCTGCAAAGGAGGAAGACTCATGTGGTGAACGCATATGGAACAGCCTTCTGAAATTGGCAGGACAGTGTACTTGACCTTGGTGTCTTAGTGCAGGAGGGGAGCAGATATGGAGGAGAGTCTACACATACGGTCACTGAGAGCAGTTGCACTTACTAAAGTTCAATAAAGGGTAGCAACAACTGTAATGTAAAAGATCATTAAGGAATAGGTGACTAGTTTAAAAGATACAAGTGACAGGATCAAGGGTAAGCCTAGCTAAATGCTTATGAAACCTTTTGCGTGGAAATTGGTTAAGTCAATATTTGATTTGAGGACAGACATGTTTAAATGTAACAGAAGATCAAAGTGACAATGTGATTAAAAAAATTAAGTGCATATACATGTACTCTAGTACAGGGTCAGAAAACGTTTTCTCTGATGCCCAAGATTTTAGGCTTTCTGGGTCACAATTTGTCACAGTTACTCAATCTTTTGGTTTTGAAAAGTCAACTGTACAGAATACCTGAAAAGATGCATGTGTTCCATTAATATTCCATTTACAAAACAGGTGTGTCAAAACAAAACCCAAACAACTCAATTCTGAAATGGGTGAAGCATTTGGACTGACATGTCCCTTAGATGATACACAGATGTCAAATGGCACCTGAGAAAGTGCTCCACATCACCAATTAGAGCAAGGCAAGGCAGAGCTAGACTGAGTTACCACCTCACACTCATGGCATTGGCTGGGACACAAAGCAGAACAAAGGGAGTGCTGGTGGGGTCTGGAGAAACTGGGACCCTTGGCTCTGTTGGTGTGAATGCCAAAGGGCCCAGCATTGTGCCAGTCAGCACTGTTCTTTCTCAAAAAGTGAAATTATCACTTGCTGGCAGCTATTCCATTTCTGCTTAACACTCAAAAACACCAAGTCCTCGAAGGGCTGTGTGTACTGCCGTGCTCATAAGAGCACCACTTCCGACACGATGGGAGCCTCCCAGGTGTCTCCTAGCAGAGGAAGTGATAAGGACAGCTTGTACACACACACAGGAGCAGGCTCTACTGCTCAGCCCTCATCAAGGAACTCTGAGCATGACACAGCCTGGGTGACCCGCGAGGACACAGGCTCAGTGATGTCCATGTCACGGCCACAACCTTATGATTCCACTGACAGGATGCAGTTGGAGAAGACAAAGTCATAGAGACAGGAAATGGGAAAAGGGTCAGGGCTGGGGATGGGGAGTGTTGGTTTTATGTTCCCACCTACAGTTTTATAGGGAGAGAAAGCTATTGAGCTGGATTGGTGTGACGATGCAACACATTGTGAACCTGGTACCACTGCACTGTGAAAACGGGCAAGGACACACAATTTATGTACAGTAGGATCCATAACAAGGGGCCAACACGGTGGTCTGAGGCTAATGTCCTCACCTTGCACGAGCCAGGATCCCATATGGGCGCCTGTACTAATCCTGGCAGTCCTGCTTCCTTTGCAGCTCCCTGATTGTAGCCTGGGAAAGTGGTCGAGGATGCCCAAAGCCTTGTGATCCTGCAACCACTTGGGAGATCCAGGAAAGGCTCCTGGCTCCTGGTTTCATATCGGCTTAGCCTGGACTCTCACAGCAACTTGGGTAGTGAATCAGCAGACGGAAGATCTTCCTCTCTATCTCTCCTTCTCTTTGTATATCTGACTTCCCAATAAAAAAAATAAATAAATAAGAGCCATAAAAATAATGTTTAAAATGCAACAATGAACCATAGTTGGTCACATGAGGTTATTCCAAAATGTCAAAATGAAATTGTAAGCTTATTTTGGTGCAGAAATGTCTAAAATCTATGCTTTTTTTTTTTATGATGCACTTTTTTTCTGTAAATTCTTTTTTAAGATCTTGAGTATGTATAGAGTTCACAATCTTTTTGAATCAAAATCAACTTATCTTTTCATTCTATTTTCCATGCGCTTTTTTGAAGTCCCCTTAAACTTCTGTGATTTCAAAGCTCAAATTCAAAGGGTGTTTTGGAGCTGCCTGGTGAAGTACCAGACCTGACATGAGGAACGCCATGTTGAGTTGGATTCCTTCTTAAGTGAGGTTCCCTTGACCCCTGAGACTGTAGACCAGCTAGGAGAATAAAAAGGAAACCATGTCCCATCGGCAAAACACTCTAACTCCATAACTACTTTGCTCAAGCTTAACTAGGAGCACAATCAAGCTCTACGTGGTCCAGTCACCAGAGCTTGCAAAGTTAGCAATTTTCCATCCTCAAGGTAGTTTGCATTTAACATAGTCTAGTCTTTCATTTAAACATCCCCTCCTTGACCCCAGGGAGGGAGTTTTTGCCTTCATAAAACTGGCTTTTCCATACTTCAGAGTTTAGAATTCTTTCTCGGATGAGCCTACTCTCCACCACTAGCTAATAAAGGACTTTCAGATCCTATCAGTGTGTGGCATTCCATCATTTTGCCCTATCAGGCATCACAATTGTGGTGACATGAATTATCTGACCCTTGCATGGTCAGAATCTCTTATTGTCCACCTGTTTGAGTCACGCTGCTCTGCTTCAATTCCAGCTCCCTGCTAAAGCACCTGGGAAAGCAGTAGAAAATGGCACACAGGTAATTGGGCCACTGCAACGCACACTGAAGACCTGTGTGCCTGTGAGAATGCAGCTTCCCTCTGCGCAGCTCAGCTTCCCGCCTGAGAAACGGAGCTGAACTTGGCAGGATCAGAGAGTGCTTTGGTCTCCTGCATGTCATCCATAGAGCTTGTAACACACCTGCTCCATGCAGAGTTCCCCTCACTGTAGCTCATGGGAAGCAGTGACCTTAGCTGAGTCTTCTCTGTAAATCTACCTTTCCAGTATACAAAAAAAAAAAAAGAGTGGAGTGCAGCAGGTTGATTAGTTAGCACACACTTGTGGTTAATTGAGCCTGAGTATAGGGAGGACACGAAGGTTCCACACCTGGTACTTCCTACCTCCACTCTGCCATTCATGCTAATGAAATGTGCAAAATCAGCTCCAAAGGCCCCTCTTGCCCACACCTCCTCTCCTGTCCCCCTCACCATTCATGTAAATCCACAGTACTGAAAAGGCTCCAGAGGCTCCAGAGGCTCCAGAGGCTCTGTGCACCCTGCCCCTTCTGCCTCCTACTATGCTACTTTAGATTAATTAACTACGGGATAACTTTGGGCTCCAGCAGCTCCCTTCCTGCCTCCAAACACTTAGCTAATTGGAGGATGAGAACTTAATAACCCTTGACTTCAGCCACCCTGCACAGTGACTAGTGGAGTGTAGCTGGAGCTTCTGTTGCCAAGCTTGGCCAATAAAGACTCCTTCTAATGTCCTACACTTATGATGCATATGATCTCTCTTGCCCTCTGCAACAAATCACCAGGGCTGTGCCCCTCGGGAGGCTGTGTTAACAAACACCAGCCTGCCACCCCTGGAAACCCAAGGGAAGGCTGCTGTCAGGTCCTACTGTGCTGGGTACCCCAGGAGGGCTGAAGACTCTGTTCTTGTCCCCACTCCCTGGAGCTGGACTAGATCTCTGCCTGTATGAAATGCAGCTATTTCCTCCCAAGTCGTGCGCTATCGAACGTGCCACATCAGGCAACAGGTATGGCCTTGAGAGGCTAGGAGACAGCAGTGAGGTGCCTGTGTTTAGTCAACTGCCCAGGGTCCCAGAAAGCAGTTGGTCCCCTGCACATTTGGTACCATCTTCTCCTTTGTTCAATTCCCTTCTCAACCTCAAGACCTTATTGGCCCTTTTCTCCCACCCGACCCCTGTCACATTAGACCCCTAAAAGCATCTATCTGTCCCTTTCCCTTTCCTCTGTAAACTGCCCTCTTTGAACAACATCCTACCTGTCATTGGCTATGTCCTCCTCAAGGAGCCCAATTGGATCTGGCCTGGACACTCAACCCTGGGCCCCTGTAGCACTGCCCCATGGGACCAGTGCTGCCAGGGAGCAGGCC